TCGCAGCACTTGTGTCGCGCAGCGTCGCTGACGACTCGTCCGACGTCGTCGAGCTGACGCCGAACAATTTCGGCGATTACGTGGGAACGGAAACGGCTGTGTTTGTGAAATACTACGCGCCATGGTAGGTGACGCTCTAGTGAAGCTATATTCAGACACACTGAATATGTTTCTTTTTCCCCCCGTACTGTACTGACTGCTTCCATTCAGTCTCCATTCAGTTCCCTCGCAGCGCTTAATCCCCCATTCCGCCGTTTGACTCTTCTCCTCTCGTCGCCCGTGCTGCCAGGTGCGGCCACTGCAAGAAGCTGGCTCCAGATTACGAGAAACTCGCCACAGCCTTCAAGAAAACCAAGACGGTGGTCATTGGCAAGGTGAGCCCTTGAGACATCCTGATTGGAAGGCGTATCAATTCTACGAATGGGAATGAGATGTGCAGCGAGTACGGGTCGTGCGAATGGCCCTTTTCAGAGTCGACTCAGACGCGATATGGCTCCCACGGCAGGTGATCTGTGACGCACACAAGGAGATGTGCAGCGAGCACATGGTGCTGTGCTGCTCTTTTCAATCGACTCAATGCCATGTACCCGTTATTGCAGGTGGACTGTGACGCGTACAAGGAGATGTGCAGCGACTACAGGGTGCGCGGATACCCCACGCTCAAGTGGTTCCCTGCTGGCACTGACATCCCAGTCGAGTGAGTGTGTGGAGGGGCGGAGTGAGGGGGGTTGGTGTGTGGGTTGGGGGGGGTGGGGGAGGCTAAGAGGGGTTTGGGTGTTTGCGCTTGATTACGTTACAATCCGAATTCTCTCTTGCAATTGACTGGCACGTGCACCTGCATGATTGCATGATTGCATTATTGCATGATTGCATGGTTACATTACATGTTGGCATGGCATGGTTGCATGATTGCTCTTGGTCGAAACGTGACGGTACCTGATACCTCGTGCATTCATGCCTCGTGGATGCTCCAGTGCTCCCACCCTCCTTTCCTGATATGATTCTTTTCTCCGTCTCCCTCTCCCTCTCCCTCTCCCTTTCACTCCCTCCAGCTATGACGGGCGCAGGGAGGCTGCAAGCATGGTGTCCTGGGTAAATGAGAAGCTGGGTGCGTGATTGAGAAGAAGCTGGGTGGGTGAAGGGAAGTAGGGTGTGAAGAGATGACTTTTAAGTCGACTCAAAAGTCACGGGCGGAGGGAGGCTGCAAGCATGGTGTCCTGGGTGAATAAGAAGCTGGGTGCGTGATTGAGATGAGAAGAAGCTGGGTGGGTGAAGGTAAGTAGGTTACGTAAAGGGAAGCTGGGTGGGTGAATGAGGATTCATTGCCAAAAGGTGTCGGGTTGAGTAGGGGAGTGAGGCACATGGATGGATTTGGAGGTTTGTTAGTTGGTCTGTCACCACCTTCAAGGCCTCTCGTCCCCACATTTCACGTTCTTCCCATGCAGGCACGAGTGTGCGTGTGCCTGTGGCCATGTCCCACGTGGTCGACCTCACACCTGCCACCTTTGATGCGATCGCTCTACACCCCAACAAGCACTGTTCCACGACCTCTCATCCCCACACCCTCTCATTTCCACACTTTCTCATCCTCTCGGCTCCATGCAGGCACGAGTGTGCGTGTGCCTGTGGCCGTGTCCCACGTGGTCGACCTCACTCCAGCCACCTTTGACGCCGTTGCGCTAGACCCAACCAAGCACGTGCTTGTTGAGTTCTACGCGCCGTGGTGCGGCCACTGCAAGCAGCTCGCCCCTGTAAGCAGCATTTCCACTCTCTCACAGTTCGCTTTGTAAGGCCTCTCCCTTTCTTTCCACCTCTCATGGAATCATCCAGCGCAACAAGGCGTCACGTCAACCCTTGGCTTTCGATCCGATGCAAAACCCCGTAACCCCCTGTATGTTGCGCTGTTGCCCCTTACCTGCGTCTCTTTCTGCTGCTGCAGGTGTACGAGCAGGTGGCGGAGGTGTTCAGGCTGGAGAGCAGTGTGGTGATCGCCAAGGTGGACGCTGACCAGCACAGGGAGCTCAAGGACAGGTGCGTGATGTGGCGTGGAGAGACGGTATTATTGAGACGTCTCAGAGGTGGCGGAGGGTGTTCAGGCTGGAGAGCAGTGTGGTGATCGCCAAGGTGGACGCTGATCAGCACAAGGAATTCAAGGACAGGTGGGTGATGTGGCGTGGAGAGACGGTATTATTGAGACGTCTCAGAGGTGGCGGAGGGTGTTCAGGCTGGAGAGCAGTGTGGTGATCGCCAAGGTGGACGCTGATCAGCACAAGGAATTCAAGGACAGGTGCGTGGCGTGGCATGGCGTGGCGTGGCGTGGCGTGGCGTGGCGTGGCGTGGCGTGGCGTGGCGTTGCGTGGCGTGGCGTGGTGTGGCATGGAGAGAGGGTATATGTTTAGGAATTGGTTAGCCCTTTTTCAACGTTTTGACTCGATCTTCCAAGGTGGAACTCGACGAGCACTGGGAGCTCAAGGTCAGGTGCATTGAAAGAGCCTGTTGACGTTACCATGCGGTATGTTGGTATGGTAGTTTAGTCACATCCAAAGCCTATACCACTCAGTGCATTCATCAATCCATGCGTCTCGCCCGCCACCAGGTTCGCCATATCAGGCTTCCCCACCCTCATGTGGTTCCCAGCCGGCAGTGGGGCAGATGGGGAAGGGGAGCAGTACAGTGGGGAGAGGGGGCTGGAGGAGTTGGTGCGGTTTGTGAATGAGCGGGCTGGCACCAGCAGAAACGTCAAGGGCGGTCTCACCAGTGCGGTAAGTTTCGAGATGTCTTAACGTGTCAAGGGGAGGGGGAAGGGGAGGGGAGGGGAGGGAGGGGAAGGGGAGCAATACAGTGGGGAGCGGGGGCTGGTGGAGCTAGTGCGGTTTGTGAACGAGCGCGCTGGCACCAGCAGGACCGTCAAGGGCGGCCTCACAAGTGCGGTGAGTTGGAAGGGCGCTGTGCAGGGGGGCGTGGGGAAAGGTAGGGAGTGAGGAAGGCAGGGTCTCACCGGTGCGGTGAGTTGAAAGACATCTCACTGCATTGATTGGATCATTTTTTAGTCGTCTCATAGACCTTCTCACCCCTATTGTTTTTATATTTCTCAATCATTCTCAAAGAGCTTTCAACATCGCTCACAAGGATCACAGACCTTCCCGCTGTTATCTCTTTCTCCGCTGCTTGCTTGTGCAGGCTGGCCGCATTGAGTCTCTGGACAGAATTGCAAGCAGATTCCTGGAAGCATTGGCTCACGAGAGGTCTGGGCTAATGGCAGAAGCAGAAGCAGAAGCAGTGGCTGTGCCGGCAAGTGTGAAAAGGTGAGAGTGAAAGGGAGGCGAAGGGAGAGAGAGGGGGAGAGAGGAAAGAAAAGGAAGAGAAGGGAGAGAGGAGAGGGAAGGAAGTGATGGGAGGGAAGGGAGAGGGGAGGGGATGAATTAAGATAGGGAGGACAAGGTGGGTGAGCAAAAAGAGGGGGAGTGAGAGAATGAGTGACAATATGGAGGGCCAAGTGAGGGAGAGCAAGAGAGGGCAAGAGGGAAGGGAAGAAACTACCGTTCATTAGAGTTCTAAATATTAGCCGCCACTCCTTTCCCCTCCACCTCCCCCCCTTCTTCATCCTTGCAGGCATGCGGAGCTGTACCTGAAGGTGATGAGGAGCGTGGTGGACAAGGGGGATGAGTATGTGAAGAAGGAAAACACTCGCCTCTCCAAAGTGCTTGAGGGGGTAGGTTCTGTGCTTGGCATACATGTAGTTAACTGTAAATCGCCCTCTCACTCTCTCTCATGTCCACCGTGAGCCGATGCCTTCAGTGCTTGTGCTTGCGCGATCTGGATTGCTAAGTGGCATGTTGGCTGGACCTCCACCATCGGGCTTATGGATGCTCGGTTCGTGGCTGTTTTGTGGCAGGATCTGAAGCCTGAAAAGGCAGATGATTTCACCATTCGAAGGAATATCCTGTCAGCATTCGTCCCAAATGCTGGTAGAGCATCGAAATAGTAGACCGATTAGCCTTATTGTCGTCGTTGAAGATGGTCAGAACTGCTGGACGTTGAGAGGAACCAACAAAAATGGTATAGGAAATGTGGTTGGTCCACCATGGTATGTGTTTCCTGATGCGCATGTGCATGAGAAGTTATGTGCTTGAAGCTCGTGATGTTTCAACATGTAAGGTACATTCGCTGTGAAGATACCTTTCATATAACAGAGCAATACATTAGAACAAATCAAATTAGGGGCTTGTTTGTTATTGCCATGCCTATGTATTTTGTATGCTACCTCTACATTGTATTGTGATTCTTCAGCTGAAGTGCGTATACTTTCCTTGCAAGAGCTACTTTGACGAGAGCGCATTGGCGCGAAGCTAGATTCCGCTGGGGGCCTTTCGCGTCACCCGTCGACTTATCACCATCGCTTGAAACCACCTCGCCGTTTTCGCTATCCTTCGTGACGCTCGGGGCAGCGCCATTCTTCCGTTCTGCTTCGAGTTTCGCTGCCATCAACTTTCGTCGCATGCGGAACTTCGCTGCTTGAAGAGCTCGCGCGCTCATCCCGTTCGTCGGGATCGCTGGAAGCATGCCAGCCGTTGGATCGCTGCATGGTGCTGCCGGCAACATCGAGGTTCCATTGCAGGGCATGGATTGCTGGGGACCTGTTTGCTGTGGAGCCCATTGCTGTGATCCATTGCCATTGGACTCAGATTCCTGAAAACCATTTCAGAAACAATCGTGGAGCAGGAAAAGGAAGAGTGAGACTAGAGCTGGAAATTTGGTGGCTTTGAGAAGTTATATTTCGGGACAAACTGATACTAGGAAGGGAATGAGAGCGAAGATTGTTTTTAAAAGGGAAAGGTTGGTTAATGAGATGGTTCTTACCACTTGTGGTGAAGCTTGGCTCTGAATGCTTGAACTTCTGGCCAGTCCTAGCTGTTGAGTAGTGTCCTCACCAACGGCTTCCTGCACGCACGACAATTATTGGAAGAAATTTAGAAACGATCCGAGTCTCGACTGATGCGTCAAACTCGGTGCGCAATGGAAAGACGGGAAACTGCCTGAACAAGCGACTTACAGAGATCCGAGACATCAGTGCCTTCACGTAGTCAATAACTTCAAGCAGCATTGATGCAGTGTCTCCCTGTATCATAAAAGAATACGAAATTACAAATGAAAGAAAAGCAATTTAGCCATGGATTCCGTTTCTGCATATCTTGTAAGGTTGAGAACTCGCATCAGGTAAAACAAGAAAAATATGAGGATTCCAGGACTCACACACACCTTGCTGCTGTTAGGGACGAGATCCACGAGCACTTTCAGCCGCTGGTTCATGTCGTGCCTTCTCTTCCTCGCAGCAGAAGCAGCCGGATTCTGCACAAACGACCTCTTCCGTCCCACTATCACCCCTCCCTCGTCGTCCTCCCCGTCCTCCACAGCTCCATCTTCCCCCAAGTCATCCTGAAACGCCTGGTTACCACTCTCCTTCTGAGAGCTGCTTCCTCCGCCAGCTCTGCTCCCAGCCTTGCTTGGCTCCTCCTTTACTTGCACCTCCGCTTTCGCTTTCACATTTTTCGCATCAGCTGCAGGAGCCTCAGGCTTCAATGCACCAGCAGATGTACCAGCAGCAGACGCAGCAGCGGCTGCAGCAGTGGTACCACAGCGAGATCCCTTGGCTGATGGCTCGTTCAACACCACACCATCGCTGTCGTCGCCAGTCTCCAATCCCAGCTGCTCCTGCTCTCTGCAGGTCAGATCAACCGGCCCAGCTGAAGCTGGAGCAGAAGCAGAAGCAGTAACAGGCGAAGCTTGCCTGGTTGTCGCCTCGCAGGCGTCTTCAGACTTGATCCTTTTCACTGCTGGAGGCTGGGCTCGTGATGACGTGGCCTTCCCACCGGCGCTTAGTGGCTCCTCTGCCTTCCGCTTCGCACCTCCGGACGTCGTCGGTCGTTGAGCAGGTTGTTTGGGAGCCGGTGCAGGAGGAGCAGCGACGGCTCCTTGAGGCAAACTGCATCCACGAGACTGGCTGTTCTGCCTCTGCAGTTGAGATTGCTGCTGCATGCGTGGCTGCTGCGGCAGCTGCTGCTGCGACTGCTGCGGCTGCTGCTGCTGCAGCTGAGGTTGCTGTGGGTGCGGTTGCTGCTGAAACGCGGGGGGCACCCGTGGTACTGCCTGCTGCTGCGGCTTCAGTGGCTGATTCATCGGATGGGGTGGCATGGCTGGCTGCTGCTGGGGAAGTTGCTGCTGTGCCTGGAACTGAGGTTGACGGACGTAGCTGCTGTCATTGCGGCTATTGTTGCCGACATGTTGCTGTTGCTGTTGATGTTGCGGCTGTTGCTGAGCAGCAGGAGGGCCTGCCTGCCATTGCTGCTGCGGCTGGCAGGGCTGGGCGTATGGCTGCTGCTGCTGCTGCTGTGGCTGCTGCGGCTGCTGGTGCGACTGCTGGTGCTGGTGCTGGGGGTGAGTGGGGCAAACGCTTTGCTGCTGCTGCACGCGCTGCTGCGTCTGGAGTTGCGGTTGCGTTTGGTGGTGCTGCGGATGCTGGTGCTGCTGGCTGTGGTACGGGCAGGCTGCGTTGTGCTGATGGTGGTGCTCGTGGCGACCTTGTGCGTGGGAGGAGGTGGCCTGGTGGTTGGCTTGCGGAGGCATTTGGTACTGGGGAGGGTGGGCATGCTGCTGCTGCTGCTGCTGCTGCTGCTGCTGATGGTGTTGCTGTTGCTGGAACTGCTGCTGCGGTGGTTGTTGAGTCTGCTGAGGTTGGTACGGCTGCGGCTGTCGTTGCTGGTGCTGATGCATAGGTGGCGCCTGCTGCTGCGGCTGCTGCAGCTGCAGCTGGTGGGAGGACGAGCAGCTCAAGTGGATCGCCTTCGGCTGCTGCTGCTGCTGCGACGGCTGCTGCTGATTCTGGTTATGGTTCTGGTGTTGGGGGAGCATTTGGCCTTGCTGCGGCATGGGCTGCACCATTGAAGGGGCGGAAGCAGCGCCGCCCACCTGCGCGGCAGGGGGCACGGGCGCCCGTCGGTTCATCACCAGCAGCGGCATCGTCAGGCGCAAGGGCGCGGCGGACTGCGCGGACGACGCGGACGGCGCAGGCGCGGAGAGAACGCGCGGAGGCGGGGGAGGGCCGGCGGAGGAGGAGCCGAGCAGAGGGCCGGAGGAGGAGGCGGTGAGGAGATGGGAGGACTGGTAGGAGGAGGAGGGGGCAGCAGGGTAAACCGACGGCGGGCGAGTCACGCAGGCTCCGGCCGAGGCAGTAGTAGCATTAGCAGTAGGAGCAGCTGCTGCTGCATCCATGCTCAGGGTACCAACACCGGCGCTGTAGCCGTTACTTAGGGGAGGTGACACGGCGGTGTTGTTGCTTGGCTGCGGCCACGTGGCGGCAGATGCGTCCACGTCAGCGTCGTTCATCAACGACGCGAGATCCTTGGGCAGCATCATTTGGCCGGACAGCCGTCTGTCGCACGGCAGGCCGTCAAGAACCAAGCTGTCGAGAGCCGCGTCGCCGTCCGGAGACGAGGAGAGGAAATCACGAACCACGTCCGGCTCTTGCTGCTGCTGCATCTGCTGATACCCCCGGTTCTGCTGTTGCTGCTGGTACTGCTGCTGCTGCTGCTGCTGCTGGTAGTGCTGCTGGTGGTACTGCTGTTGGGACTGCTGCGGCTGCTGGAGCTGCGGCGGCGACGGCAGGGGCTGTTGTTGCTGCTGCTCCATATCGAAGAAGAGCGACATGTCGGACGCCTCCGCGGGGTCCGCGCGCATGTGCGCGCCTTCCCCGGGCGTCGCACAGAACCCGTGCTGCCCCGCCAAGCCCTGCTGTTGCTGTTGACCCGCCATCCCGTACTGCTGCGGCTGCTGCTGCGCGCCAAGCATGCTCTGCACGGCGCCGGCAGGCATGGTGCGGGAACTCGACGCTTCCAGCATTCGTCCGTTGCTGAACGCCACTTGCTGCTGCTGCTGCTGCTGCTGTTGCTGGTACTGGGGCATCTGGAAGCACTGCCCTTGCGCCTGGGGCTGCTGCTGCTGCGCCACTCCGTTCCACAGCAGCGGCGGGGAGTCCGCGAACAGACCGAGCTCCGCATCCAGCGACACCGCCACGCGCGCAAGCTGGTCGGGGGACCGCTTCCCCGCCTCGTCCTTCGCGGGGGTCACGGGGGTCCAGGGCTCCGCCGCTCCGCCCGCCTGCCCCAGCCGCCGCATCAGGTTCTCGCGGGTTGCGCGCGCCGTTGCTCCGCCGGACGGGGTCATGAGCGCGCCCTTTTGCGCCAGTCCCCGCTCCGTGGGGCACCGGCTGCGCGGGCGGGAGAAACCCGCGCTTGGCACCTGCGGCGTGCTGAAACCGCCCTCGCTATTGTCACATCCCGGCGTTGCCACCTCCGCTGGGTCCGAACTAGCCGGCATCTGCGGCGCCTTTTCCGGCGTGAGATACGCAACGGCCGGATCCCTCATCTCCATTTCTTCTCCGCCGCTTCCGCCGTCCGCCTGCTCCGCCTCGTCGTGCCCCGCGGACGCCGCGAGCAGATCGTCGCCGTCGCCGTCGCCGGAGAGCAGCTCGCCGCAGTCGACGATCGGCTCTGCGAACAGATTGTCGCACAGCTGCCACGACGACCCGCCAAGCGTCGCGCCGCCGCCGTTGTTGCTCGCCTGGCCTTCGGAGAAAAGAGCCGATGTGAGATCGGAAGCGTCGGGTTGCGGGGAGATGCGGAGGTTAAGGCTCCCCACCATATCCTCCTCCTCCCCCCTCTGCGCATCCTGGTACAGCATCACACACTCCCCCGCTCCGCTCGCTCCCGACGACGGGTCGAACTCGCTGCTGCCGAAGTTATCGTCCTCGAGAAGATCTCGCCGTACGTTGAGATGATCCGACGGTTGGTGGCTGTGGTGGTGGGTGTAGTCCGACTGCTGCTGCTGATGTTGTTGCTGCGATTCGTCTCCGTCGGACGCGTCCAATGGAAGGAACCCGGAAGAATCGTGGTCCAGCCCGTGCATGGCGTCTAGGGAGGTCCATAAGGGAGGCGCGGGGCTCGTCTGCTGAGCGAACATGCCGCCGTTATATCCGCCGCTATATCCACCGTTATCGTCGGCCACAGGTGATTCGTCCATCAGCGGAAGCATGACAAGTTGCGCCATGGATGAATGTTATCTCGGCTGAATATCGCTAATGCCGTGGCTCGTGGGTCGGCAGTAAAACCTATTATTTAATAACAGTAATAGCTACTGTGGAAACTAACGCTGTCGGCAGGTGCCGGCAATTACTGGCCGTAAAGGAAATGGCGTTACTAGTGGAATTAGCCGTGTTGGGAGCTATGGCGGCCTTGTCACAAGGAGGAGAGACTACAGCTACGATAACGTTCTACGGATGGACGTACATCTGCGCAACTAAGCAGAGTGTCGGCGCTATCTGATAATCAGCTCTTGCTTCTACGAGCTCCCACCGTCATCTACGTACCTCCGTTTCGTGACGACTACTTCAAACTGATTTTGAGTTAGGTAAGTCTTTGACGCCCAGCCCATCCCCACCTCAATTAGATGGCTCGCCCTCCAATTCTCGTTTCCATCCGCCCGTTGGACGGATTTTCGATTGGATGGAGATGCTCTAAGCCGAGTCGAGTCGAGTCAAATCGATTTTTTTCTGCTGCGCTGCTGCCCCACCTGCTGCCCAGCTCTTCTGTTGCCACAAACCGCCGGAGCCTGCTGTCCAATCTGCCTGGTGAAAATCGAAATGTTGGTTGGGAGGCGTTGAAATTTGGCGTCGAAATTTCTACCGGAGTGGAGAGGCGCAAATTGAAAACCGAGTCGCCCCCTCAAAATTCAATTTTCGCCGCAGCCGATTTCCCACAACCGCGGTATTCGTGTTCCCGCGCTTACCGCGCGTCGGGCGTGCGAAGCCGCACGAATATTTGGCCATCCATCAACACCTAAAACCAACTTTCCCACTCCCGTTTTCGCATCCGTTACCCGCAGTCGCATGCCCTTCGGGCATCGCATCATCGCATGCGTCGACAGAACACACGCATCGCATCCAATGACATGAGAAACAGGGTGTCATCAACGGCAGCCGTCAACAAACCCATCATAAAGACCGACATTCCACCAAACCCATCATAACTCTTGACAAACATTTCATTCTTTATGGATGGTCTCCCTTCCGCTAGTCAGCTCCGTCAACTGTGGAAGATCCTGTTTTGTTATAATGTATGAATTTTCATAACGCAATATTTCTTTGTTAGAGCCAGCTAGTGCATGATCAGGCTAGTGCTAGTCGTTCGTGTTCAGTTATTATGTAGCTATACATTTTCAAGATGGCAATAAGCTGCTTAGTTCCATAAAATTAGCAGCCCAATAACAGCCCTTGGAGATTCTTTAGTATTCGTAAAAGCACCCTTAATTCTCAGACCCTCTGAAAATCGTGTATCAAGTTGTACACTATAGACGTACTGAGTGTAAGCTATCACTGTTTCCACTTCCATTCGGAGATGCAGCTTCTAGAAGTCAGGCTGCTAAAAGCCATTAGCGGATACGAAGCATCTTCACGCGTCTCGATCGAGACTCGTCCTGAATTTCCTCTTGAAGTCCCACCACTTGGTCTTTTTGGGCAGGTTTTGAGGTTACCGATGTTATAGCGAGGATATCCGGTTCGACTCAAACCGTCCGATTTATCCAGCTTTCACCTCCCCTAGTGATTACGACAAGAAGACTGCTCCTCCTCCGTCGCTTGGCTGTGCTTTGTGGGGTGGAGGTGGAGTGTTGAGCACGAACTTGACTGACGGTCCCACATTTCTCCTCATCCTCACGTGAGTGGAATTTCTATCCCAGACCCTTCATTCACTCGTTCCGGGATACAGAAGCCCCTTCTATATACTCATATATATAAGCCGTCGCGTCGCCTTCGTGCCACTTTCGTTTCGCCGCGCCGTGCGTGACAGTAGCCGTGGAGTCCGCGATCATAATGGCCAGCCCGCGACTCGTCACCGGATCTCCGCCAATTGCGATCGCGTCGCTTGTTCTGCTGACAGCATTGCTGCTCGCAGTGCCGCGATCGGCGGCGGACGGCGCGGAGAACTCGGACGTGCTGGAGCTCACGCCGGCGAACTTCCACGACCACGTGGGGGGCGACTCGGTCGTGTTCGTGAAGTTCTACACTCCTTGGTGCGTCCTCCCCGTCATGATGATGATGACGCATGATGACGTGTTTATTCCCGTGATGACGTGACGCTCTCATGATGACGTGGTTATCACTTACGACGATTCCGTCGTGTAACCGCTGCGTCGCATCTGCATCGCTAATCAATGCGGTCAGTCGAGCCAAGGGCTGGCTGCAGGAGTTCTTCGAGAACCGTTCGTTTCAGATTGATCCAAGTACATTACAAGGATAGTGTCGTTGCGTCACTATGGTTACACCTTTCTTCGTTCGCGTTTCTGCATTTCGCAACCCTGTTTTCGCAGGTGCGGGCACTGCCAGCGCCTGGCGCCGGACTGGGAGAAGGTGGCGACGGCATTCAAAGACTCGGATGCCATCCGCATCGCCAAGGTTCGTCGCAGCGCGTCGCTAAGGTGCGTCGCCCAGGTGCGTCGCATTGCGTCGCCAAGGTGCGTCGCATTGGGCGCCAGGGTGCGTCGCATTGCGTCGCCAAGGTGCGTCGCATTGCGTCGCCAAGGTGCGTCGCATTGCGTCGCCAAGGTGCGTCGCATTGCATCGTCAAGTGGCGGTGGGACACGTATGAGTGAGAGCGCGCTGTTGCGGGAATCGTCCGCCTTTTTTTGTTCTGAGACGTCTATAAGGACGATGTTCAAGAGTCCTCAAGAATCGTCCCCCCTTGTACGCGCGCACGTAGACTGCCAGGCACACGCGGAGCTGTGCCGTTATAGGCGCTCATGATTCTCACTTTTCCCCACCCCCCTCCCGTGCTCCCCCCGCCATCTCTCCCTCCCCCGTTTCCCCCTGCTATCCGCGCAGGTGGACTGTGAGGCGCATTCCGAGCTGTGCGGTTAAAGGCGCCTCATAATACCCCTCCGTGTCCACCTTCCCCCCGCTACCCCCCTCCCCCGCTCCCCCCTCGTATGCGCGCAGGTGGACTGCCAGGCGCACGCGGAGCTGTGCTGTTAAAGGTGCAACATTCAATCCCCTCTCCCACTTCCCCCACCCCCTTCCCCTTGCCATGCGCGCAGGTGGACTGTCAGGCGCACGCGGAGCTGTACGCGCCATTAATGCCCTCTCCCTCTCCGCCTTCCCCCACCTCGCGCCATTTAAATCCGCGCAGGTGGACTGTCAGGCGCACGCGGAGCTGTGCACGAACCACGAGGTCCGCGGATACCCCACGCTCAAGTGGTTCCCTGCTGCTGGCCAGGGGGGAGTGGAGGAGTGAGTGCTGGGTTGTGCTGAGGGGTTCTGGGGTGTGATGGGGTGTGATGGGGTGTGATGTGGTGTGATGGGGTGTCCTGCCAGTAGATTAAGTACATCGGAATTAGTTCTGAGTCGATTCACAAAAGGCCACGCTCATATGCTTCCCTGCTGCTGGCTAGGGAGGGGGCGGCGGAGTGGGTACTGTGCTGTGCGTGCGGTGCTGTGCTGTGCTGTGCTGTATGCTTGGCTGCTCAGTCTCTATCCGCCACTCCCCCTTTCTCCTAACCCAGCATGCCCCGCACTCATCCACGTGGAGCTTATCCATCCACGTGGAGCTTATCCATCCACGTGGAGCTTATCCATCCACGTGGAGCTTATCCATCCACGTGGAGCTTATCCATCCACGTGGAGCTTATCCATCCACGTAGAGCTTATCCATCCCCCCATCCTCTTGCCTTGCGCCCATGCCATTCCACACTGTGCCACGTCACCCCACGCCACGTCATCCGATGCCACGTCATGCCAGCTATGGAGGAGACAGGAAGGCCAACGTTTTCGTGGATTTTATCAACAGTCGACTCGGTGAGTGGGCGGCGGGCTTGGTGAGTGGGCGGCAGGCTTGGTGAGTGGGCGGCAGGCTTGGTGAGTGGGCGGCAGGCTTGGTGAGTGGGCGGCAGGCTTGGTGAGTGGGCGGCAGGCTTGGTGAGTGGGCGGCAGGCTAGCGAGTGGGCATGGTGGGGGTGATGCATTCCCCCGCTTCCCACGCACCAAGGGCAGGGTGGAATCCAAGGAGCCTGAGTCGCGAGTTATGGGGCTCACCTCATCACGTGAATGTGCTTCGATTTCACCCTGCCCTTGGTTGATTTTCTCTCCTCACCGGATCAGCTCTCTCCTCTGCTGCCTCTCCTTCCTCCCCCCACTTCCATGCAGGCACCAAGGGCAGGGTGGAATCAGACGAGCCAGAGTCACGGGTGATGGAGCTCACCACGTGGGCGTTCCCCTCAGTCATGCTGGACGAGACCAAGCACCTGTTTGCCTACTACTATGATGCCGCGTGAGTGCAGTCAGGGGCTGGGTTGAGTTCGGTTATGAGGGGTTATGAGTGGTTATGGTGGTCATGCTCGACGACACCAAGCACCTCTTTGCCTACTACTACGATGCCGCGTGAGTGGTGGTGGTATTGCTGCTACGATGCCGCGTGAGTGTGGTATTTGTTGTGAGGGAAGGCAAGAGAAGGGATTGCTTCACGAGTAACTGGGTGGTTACAGTTACTCAAGCTATGAGACCAAGCTCCTCTTTGCACACTGCTATGATGTGGCGTGAGTGATGGAAGTTAGTGGCTGAATCAAGAGTGAGTGAGTGAGGGAGCGAGCGAGTGAGTGAGTGAGAGAGTGAGAAAGTGAGTGAGTGAGAGAGTGAAATGATCATGCTCGATGAGACCAAGCGCCTCTTTGCCTATGATGCTTCATGAGTGAGTGCAATCAAGCAATCAACATATGCAGGGCTGAATATTGAGTGAGTAAGCGAGTTTGTTATTATTTTATTACGACACAAACAACTATTTGTCTACTACCATAATGGTGCTGTTTGAGTGCTCTCCCTCTCTCACTCTCTCCTCTCCCACTCTCTCCTCTCCCACTCCCCTCTCTCCCACTCTCTCCTCTCTCACTCTCTCCTCTCCCACTCTCTCCTCTCTCACTCTCTCCTCTCTCACTCTCTCCTCTCCCACTCCCCTCTCCCCCACTCCCCTCTCCCCCACTCTCTCCTCTCTCACTCTCTCCTCTCCCACTCTCTCCTCTCCCACTCCCCTCTCTCCCACTCTCTCCTCTCTCACTCTCTCCTCTCCCACTCCCCTCTCTCCCACTCTCTCCTCTCTCAAACGGTCCTTTGTATTAATTCAGCAGGGGTACAAACATGCGGTGCTATCCATGATAACCTCTATCCCTTAAGCCCCAAAACTTACCACTCTTCACCCCCCCCCCTGAGTGACCCTCTAGCCCTCCAGCGTGTGGAGGATGTCCCCCAGGTGCAGCGGCCAGGGGTCCGCTGCCATCTGGGGGTGCGCTGCCTCGATCCCAGCCCTGGCCTTGGTGTGCAGGGCATTAGCCTGGGAGCGCTGGAGGGCCACTGACCAGCGCTGGCTGAAGTGGCAGGCCATCTTCTTGGCCGATTTCGCCAGGGGGTTGGCCCTGAACCGGTTCCTAGCTGCTGCTGTGGCCAGCAGCTTCAGGAACGCAGTCGTGGTGGGCGCGTTTGCCCCGTAGGTCTCGACGGCTAGGGCGCAGAACACCACGTGTTCCATGTGTCGGTAGTACTCCCTCTCCTTCCGCCTCTGTGCCTCTCTAGCAGCCCAGCCTGGGGGTTTGCGGGCTGTGGGGTCCCGGTTCTGCAGCACGGGGTCTGTGATAGTGGTGTCTGTGATCCAAGTCTCTCCAATGTCCGGGTCGCGTACAATCACATCGGCTTTCTTCGGGTCATCCGGCGGTGAGTACATGGCGTTCTCCAGGTATACCACCAGCTGTGCTTCCCTTGCCATTTTAGCCACGGCAAAAGCTAGCTGGTTGTGTGTGCGTGTCCTGTCGGGGCCTGTGCTGCAGCGGAGTAGGTGGTTGGGTAGGCTGCAGTCGGCTACGAGTTCTCCACACTCGCACACAGTGGGTACATTCTGTCGGATGCCCATGCGGAAGGCCAGGGCTGCTCGGAATTGTCCCGGTGAGAAGCAAAGGTCCGGGGTCAAAGGTAGGGCCTGCAGCCATGCTCCCGCTCCCTCCCCTCTCAGGCTGATGAGGCGGAGTGAGTGACCCATCTCGGGGGCTGACTGGATGGTGCGTGACTCCTCTGTCAAGGCGTCGGCCTTTGCCGCGTGCACCTCCTGAGAGAGGGCGCGTTGCAGCTGGTCTTGGGACGGGGTTTGCTGCTCCTCCCGGAGGTTTTGTAGCGTCAGCGGTGGCAGGCGCCCCTCCATGTCCTGGATGGTTACTGAGTGCGCTGCGGACGGTTGCAGGGTGTTGTTGTTGGCCCCCAGTGCCGCGGTTGCTGGTAGGTCAAGGGAGCGGAGCAGTCGTAGCGCCTCCGTCGTTGATGCCAGGTAGGCCGGTGCTGCTTCTGTTGTGGGGTCTGTAAGTCCCAGCCTGCCCAGGGTGACTGGAAGAGTTGCTTGTCGGAGCAGGAAGTTGAACTCGGCTTCTCGGCGTGGCGGTTGAATGCTGGCGGCGGTCAAGGCCGTGTGCAGTAGTTCGGAGCACCATGTGTGCCATTCCGAGAGGGGTAAGACGTCTGCTGGGGTAGTGCGTAGCAGGTAGCCGATTCTGCGGCTGATGCAACGGGACAGTAGCAGGAGGGCATGTTGTGGGTGGATGGACGCCAGGGAACCCAAGGGGGCTGCCGCGTCTGTCAGGGTACTGCGGACAAAGGCAGAGCAGAAGCTCTGCGACCCCACAGGACTTCCCAACACCCGTACCCCCTCGTGGGTGTGGGGGAGGCCTTCAGGGAGCACGACACCTCCAAGCGGCATGGAGGACCACGCCGACGACTTCATAAAGTTGCAGGTGAGGCCATCCTGTGCTAGTAGCGGCGTGAGCTCCCTTAGCGCGTCTAGCGTCGCCGTCGCGGGTCCAATCATGGTTATGTCGTCTGCGTACGCGAGGACGGTGACTTCCGGGTGCTCCGCTGCCACGTGCCTGAGGTGCTGCTGGATAGACGCCGCGAATAGCAGGGGTCCGAGGGGATCCCCCTGTCTGACTCCTCTTCCGCTGGTGAGTGCCGTGGAATTAAAGCATGGATCCAGCAGCAGCGGTGATGCTGATGCGTAGAAAGAGCGTGTGAAGGGGATGAGGGGGGCTAGCGGGGAGCCGATAAGTGCGTTGAAGAACGCGCTCCTCTCGACTGAGTTGAACGCGTTCTCAATGTCGAGTTGGAGGACTAGGCTGGAGGGCTGCACGGTGGTGAGGTCTCTGACTGCATGGATGATGAACTCAGCACCTCCTGGGACTGCCACGCCAAATTGCTGAGGTAGGAAAAATTTTCGCGTTTCTCCTTGCAGGTCTGAGAGTGCCACTTTCGCCGCCAGCCTAAGCAATGTTTCTCCAATCGCGATTGGGCGTACCCCCCCCCCTGGTTTGGCGAAGGCTATAAGGCGGGACGGGGCGAGTAGGGCTGCAACCTCGGTGGAAAGGTTTGTCGAGAGAAGGTGTTTAACGGCGGAGTGGAGGTGCCCTAGTACCTCGATGTTACTTAGCGCTGGATCGCGGTAGTGTTCGAAGGTTGACCCCGATGGGCCAGCCCCAATTCCCCTGGGGCATTCCCCGAGGACGTCCGAAAAGCTTTCCAGGGTGGTTGAAAATTGTGTGGGTGTCGTGTAGGAGTGGACCCAGTCGGGCAGGTCATTTTGGGGTTGGGGGTGTTTCGATTCCAGCTGCTGCAGTGTCGCGAATGTCGCCGGTGCTGATGGCGAGGGTTGAAGGGCCGCTAACGCCTTTCGCAGGTTACCCCTTTTCACCAACCCCTCCGCACGTGAGCAGATTCCCAGCGGGTCACGTTGGTGCTGAGGTGGTTCGGCCAGGTGCATTGACCCCAAGTATTCGGTGTACAGCTGGGTCCAGTGTCCACATCGGAATAGATGCATCTGTGCCCGCAGCAGTTTCCACCTAGAGCTGGATCTCCGGCTAAGTCTTAGCGTGAGACGTGGCAGGAACATGAGGACCCGCCACGCTCCCGCGCAATTAGGCAGCTTTGAGATCCGTAGTAAGGCAACCAGCATACAGGTGGAGTAGTCGCTGAGGATCTGCGGCGGCAGTCGGCGGACGATTGGTTGGTGGGTGATGGATGTTAGGAGCGTAAGGTCCCAGGTCATCGCGATCTGGAAAAGATCCTCCCGCGAGGCCAGCTGGGACGCAGATAGGGCTTGGTCCGGTGGGGGCTGGGCTCTGCGCTGCTGTCTGCGGTTGGTTCCTCTCTCCTGTTGCTGCGCCACCTCCTCTCCTGATTCCGCGCGAGGTGAGTCGGGATTGTCTGGTTGCCTCAGATCTGACGGTATATAGGCCTCGTCTCTCGCCTCTCTGATGATATCGACGTTCCTCCCTGCTTGCGCTGGTGCACCACCTCTCGCCCCGCGCCTAGCGAACGACTGCCGCGTGATTCGTTCCGCCGGCTCCCCTAGCCAGATTGGGCTCGGTGGTTGGCGCCCGCGCCCCCTCGCCGCTTGACCTGCGCTCCTCTGTCCTCCGCGCGCTCCTCGTCGCGATCCTCTCCCCCGCGCGCTTCCCCGTCCGCTCTGCGGGGTCCCTGCTGCTAGCGCCGCCTGTTGCGTGGGGAAAGTCGGGGTTGTAGGCTCCCCTTGTGTTGGAATTGCGCCTTGTGCTTGCGCAGATGGCGCTTCCGTCCGCCCACGACCGCGAGTGTACCGCGGAGAGTGCACCTGTGCTTCCGCCACGCCCGGCGGTGAGCGTTCCTGCTCGTCCTCCCGCTGCTGCGGACCAAATCCGGCGCCGATTTGAGGACCAGCGCCGTCCTCCCGGGCCGCGCGTCGCTGATTCGCCTCCGAGAGTGGCAACCCGCGCGGAGTCCGCTGTGCGTTCTGGCGCCTTGGCGGAGCCGCACCGGGGGCGTTCTCCGCGTCGTCGGACGCCTGAGCCTCGTGACGAACGCTGCGAGGGGCGGCGTGAAGATCGCCGCGAGCGTCGCTCCCCTCGTCGTCAGGGGAGCCGCAGCCGTTCCCCTGGGCGTCGTTCGCCAAGTCACCGTTCCCCATCTCGCCATTCGCCTCGCTGTCATTCACCCGCGCGCCGATCCTCAGGGCGTCGCTCTCCTGCTCGCCGTTCTCCGCGCGAATCGCCGGTGAAGCGCCAGCGGCGCCATTCTCCATTGCGTCGTGAGCGATCCCCTGCGCTCCGCCCGCGCAGCACGTCCCGGCCCCAATCTCCAGCCCGCTCGTGGTCGAATAGTCGTGGGCGGCGTGGCAGTCGCGGGGGCCGCGGACGCGGGGGCGGGGGTCGCCAGTCTGCGTCGGACTTTGCGCGCGCCCTGGAGAGGCTTCCGGACGTGCTCGCAACTGCTCTCCGTGAGTCGCAGGCGGCGACAGCCTGTCGCTCCGTTCCGCCAGACGCTCCTCGTTCTCTTCCCGCCATTGTCGAGGTAGCCAACCGTGCGGTGTCCCCGCAGCGCTCTGTCCAGCAGCCGCCTGTTCTCCCGGGTTTGTTGGCGCTGGCGGAGGCCCAGCAAGGGGTCCGTATCGTGACCCTCGTCCTCGCCTTGAGGAGGCGGAGTATTCATGTTCCACGGCGACCCTGCGTCAGCTGTGGATACTGTTGGAGTGCCTAGAGGCACTGGCGCGTGTTCTCCGGTCGACTCGTGCGTCGATGCCGATATCCCGCCCAAGCACATTTGCTGAGAAACCGCAAGCAGCGTGCTTGGGGGCGGCGGATGAGATCCTATCCCTCTTGGCGCCACTGCAGGCAGCGCCCTCCCCGGGTGCAGACGCAGCCAACCTGCTGGCTCGCGCGGCCCTGGATCTGAGGCACATTGCAGGGTCGGTTGAAGGCACACCCGGAGATGCTCTAACCGCCTGCGTGTCAGTGGTCCGCCACTTGTGGCAGACCACGCGCGGAATGCTCTCGTTTCTGGGGGCGGACCGCATGTAGGTGCCCCCCTTTGTCTTGTGTAGACCTTCTCCATGATGCCTGCTAGTTGATGATGTTTGTCGCCATGCTGTCTGCTAAAGTTGTCCCGTTACCTAAGCTTGCCTCCTAAAATGCGCGGCCGTAGGCCGCGCACGCGAGCGCCGGCGGCCGAAGGCCGCCGGCGCGAAGCGCCGGAAAATTTGGATTCACCAAATGAATAATGAGCTAGGGAAGGTGCCGGCTGGCCATTATATAGCTGGGGGAAGGGGAAGAGGCTAGGAGGGAAGAGGCTAAGTCCCCCTTTCTCTCTCACTCTCTCCTCTCCCACTCTCTCCTCTCTCATTCTCTCCTCTCCCACTCTCTCCTCTCCCACTCCCCTCTCCCCCACTCTCTCCTCTCTCACTCTCTCCTCTCCCACTCTCTCCTCTCCCACTCCCCTCTCCCCCACTCTCTCCTCTCTCACTCTCTCCTCTCCCACTCTCTCCTCTCCCACTCCCCTCTCCCCCACTCTCTCCTCTCTCACTCTCTCCTCTCCCACTCTCTCCTCTCCCACTCCCCTCTCCCCCACTCTCTCCTCTCTCCCTCTCTCCTCTCCCACTCTCTCCTCTCCCACTCCCCTCTCTCCCACTCTCTCCTCTCTCACTCTCTCCTCTCCCACTCTCTCCTCTCTCACTCTCTCCTCTCCCACTCTCTCCTCTCCCACTCCCCTCTCCCCCACTCTATCCTCTCTCACTATCTCCTCTCCCACTCTCTCCTCTCCCACTCCCCTCTCCCCCACTCTCTCCTCTCTCACTCTCTCCTCTCCCACTCTCTCCTCTCCCACTCTCTCCTCTCCCACTCCCCTCTCTCCCACTCTCCTCTCTCATGCTCTCCTTCTCCCATGCCCCCTCCTCGTACTCCCAACTCTATCTTTCCCCCTCTCCCAGGTGCAAGCCATGCAAGGAGATGACCAAGGTAAGCCTTTTCTTTCACTGCAACCTTCGTTTCAAAGCGCCCTTCCTTGCATCCCCCTGTTGCACGTTGTTGCTCCTCCTGTCCCTTGTCCCGATTCTGCTCCCCGATCCCCCTTGCCCCTTCCTTGCTCCCCCCCTCCCCTCTCTTGCTCCCCCCTTGTCCCCCCTCCCCACAGACCGTGGAGAAGCTAGCTCAGATCTTCAAGGGAGAGGAGAGCATCACGTTTGCGTTTTGCTTCCCTCTCGCTTCCCCTCCCCATCATCCCACCTCATTGTTGCCCCCCTTCCCCCGTCCCCACAGACGGTGGAGAAGCTGGCTCACATCTTCAAGGGCGAGGAGAGCATCACGTTTGCCAAGGTGGATGGCATGGCAGCTGTTGCCGCTCCTCCCATGCCTCCTCCTCATTGCCGCCTCTCATGCCCCCCTCTCATGTGCGCAGACCGTAGAGAAGCTAGCTCAGATCTTCAATGGAGAGGAGAGCATCACGTTCGCCAAGGTGGATGGCAGCTGTTGCCGCTCCTCCCATGCCTCTCATGTCCCCCTCCCCACAGACGGTGGAGAAGCTAGCTCAGATCTTCAAGGGCGAGGAGAGCATCACGTTCGCCAAGGTGGATGCGGACAACAACGGCATGCTGGCGCACAGGTGGGCCGTGCTGACGTGGCAGGTGGGGCGTGCTGACGTGGCAGGTGCGGCATGCTGATGTGGCAGATAGGCATGCTGCTGATGTGGCAGATATGCATGCTGATGTGGCATGCGCGGCATGCTGATGTCGCAGGTGCGGCATGCTGATGGGAAAGGCAGGGAGAAAAGGTAGGCAGGGAGGCAGGCTGTTAGTGTGAATCGTTCACTGCTTTCCCCCTGCCACTGCGTTCCCCTTCCCACACTTCCCACCCTCTCCCTCTGCTTCCTGCCCCACTGCCTCCCTGCCCTCCCACACCTGCCCCGTTCTTTCCCCCCAGGTTCAAGATCACGGAGTATCCATTCTTCAAGTTCTTCACAAAGACCAACAAGTATGGGGAGGACCTCAAGGGGGACCCCCTGCTCGCCTCGCCACCCTTCCCCACTGCCCTACTGCCCCCTGTCACCTGCTTCCCTCCTGCTGTCCTGTCTCCCGCTCCCTGCTCCCCCCCCACCTCTCAGGTTCAAGATCACAGAGTATCCATTCTTCAAGTTCTTCACCAAAACCAACAAGTACGGCGAGGACCTCAAGGGCGACCCCCTGCCCACCCTGCTCCACTGCCCACCATGCCCTCCCTGCCCGCCTGCCCGCCTGTCCTCCTGTCCCTCTCCTCCTTGTGCTCCTTTCCTCCCCCCCAGGTTCAAGATCACGGAGTATCCATTCTTCAAGTTCTTCACCAAAACCAACAAGTACGGGGAAGACCTCAAGGGCGACCCCCTGCCCACCCTTCCCCACCCATTCCCCTGCCCTCTTTGCCCCTCCTCCCCCTCTGCCCCTCCCCCCCCCCCACCACAGGTTCAAGATAACAGAGTATCCATTCTTCAAGTTCTTCACCAAAACCAACAAGTACGGGGAGGACCTCAAGGGGGACCCCCTTCCCACCCTGCTCCACTGCCCACCATGCCCCCTCCCTGCCCGCCTACCCGCCTGTCCTCCTGTCCCTCTCCTCCTTGTGCTCCTTCCCCTTCCCCCCAGGTTCAAGATCACGGAGTATCCATTCTTCAAGTTCTTCACAAAGACCAACAAGTATGGGGAGGACCTCAAGGGGGACCTGCTGCCCACGCTCACGGACCTCGTGCACTTTGTCAACCACTGGACCGGCACCACGCAATCCGCCTCCGGTGTTCCCCTCGATAAGGTGCTGTAGCCCTCCCCTTGGCAAGGTACTGTGCAATAAGGTGCTCTCTCCCCTCGTGGGACCTCAAGGGCGACCCCCTGCCCACACTCACCGACCTCGTGCACTTTGTCAACCACTGGACCGGCACCACGCAATCCGCCTCCGGTGTTCCTCTGGATAAGGTACGGTACAGTATGGTACAGTCATGTATGGTAGAGCATGGTGCACTCTCCCCTCCTAGGACCTCAAAAGCGACCCGCTGCCCACCCTCACGGATCTCGTGCACTTTGTCAACCACTGGACCGGCACCACGCAATCCGCCTCCGGTGTTCCCCTCGATAAGGTGCGGTGAAGTCAGGTGCCTTACAGTACCGCGTGGTGCAATGAGGTACGGCGCTCTCCCCTTCTTAACAACCTCAAGGGCGACCCGCTGCCCACCCTTGTCGGCCTCGTGCACTTTGTCAATCACTGGACCGGCCGGCTTTTGAGTCGACTCAAAAGTCACCTCGTTACAATGGCACACGACACATTTTGAGTCGACTCAAAACCCACCCTTGTCGACCAACCCTCGTGCACTTTGTCAATCACTGGACCGGCCGGCACCACGCAATCCGCGTCCAGTGTTCCTCTGGATAAGGTACGGTACTGTAAGGTGCGGTGAAGTACGGGTATGGTAGGGTACGGTTCAGTAAGGTGTGGTGCAGTAAGGGACGACACACTCCTCTCGTAGGACCTCAAGGGCGATCCCCTTCCCACCCTTGTCGACCGCGCATTCCATCAACCATTGCGTCCAGCACCAAGCGACTTTTGAGTCGACTCAGAAGTCACCTCGTTACCATGGCACACCACACATTTTTATCAAGGAGAGCATCAACCACCAAGCTCTCCTAGGACCGGCACCAAGCTCTCTTCTTATGAACCCTCTCCGCTTCCCCCTCCCCCACTCCTCCCCTCCACCCCTTCCCCCTTCCCCCTTGCCCCGTTCCCCACCCCCTCTCTCTCCCCACCCGCCTGCAGGTGGGGCGCATTGCTGAGCTGGACGCAATGGCGGGAACCTTCCTGCAAGCATCGGAGGCGGAGAGGCAGAAAGCGATGGAGCATGCGATGGGAGTGGTGGTGGCGCCTGCCATGGAGGAGTGAGTGTAAAGGGGGGGGGGACGTGAGAGAGGGAGTGGGGGCATAAGGGTAATGGGAGTGGTGGTGGCGCCTGCAATGGAGGAGTGAGTGGAGGGGGGGGGAGGAGAGGGGGGGAGTGGGGGCATAAGGGCAATGGGAGTGGTGGTGGCGCCTGCCATGGAGGAGTGAGTGTGGGGGGGGGGGAGGACGTGAGAGAGGGAGTGGGGGCATAAGGGCAATGGGAGTGGTGGTGGCGCCTGCAATGGAGGAGTGAGTGGGGGAGGGGGAGAGGGAGTAGTGGAGGGGTGGAATGGCGGGCGAGTGGGGTGGGGTGTGGGTGATGGGAGTGGTGGTGGCGCCTGCAATGGAGGAGTGAGTGGGGGAGGGGGGAAGGGGGCGCGCGGCGCGGGTAAGGGCGTTAGGGGGCGAATGGAGCACAAGGGCAATGGGGGTGGTGGTGGCGCCTGCGATGGAGGAGTGAGTGGGGGGCAGGGGGAGGGAGTAGTGGAGGGGTGGAATGGGGGGCGAGTGGGGTGGGGTGTGGGTGATGGGGGTGGTGGTGGCGCCCGCGTTGGAGGAGTGAGTGGAGGGGTTGGGGGAGGGGGAGAGGGGGAGGGGGAAAGTCAGGGGATGAAGGGAATGCCTCATGCAAGTGGGGCAATGGAACGAGCGATGGGAGTGGTGGTGACGCCTGCCATGGAGGAGTGAGTGGGGGGTAGAGAACGGTACTGTGGGGTGAATCAGGATAGCTTTGGGGGGATGAGTGGGGGCTAGGGATGGGGGCGATGGGATGCGGGAGGTGGAAGAGTGCTGAGATGGGGGAGGAGGGATGAGAGGGTGACCGTGAGAGCGGCGAGTGGGGGAGTGTGGGGAGAAGGGTGAAGGATTCTGAGAGAGGCGATTGGACAGATTGTGGGGAGAATGGGGGGATGAATACCAGTGGCTCTTTCGTCCCTTTCGTCCCTCCCATCCCACCTGCCCCACCCACCAGGCACGGGGTGTTCTATCAGAAGGTGATGAAGAGCATAGTGGAGCAGGGCGAGGGGGATAATGCGACGGATTTTTGACAGTGCTTCTTTGTCTCCTCCATGCCTCCATGCCTCCATGCCTACATGCCTCCCATGCCTCCCATGCTAACCACTCCGCCCACCAGGCACGGGGTGTTTTATCAGAAGGTGATGAAGAGCATTGTGGAGCAGGGCGAGGAGTATGTGGGCAAGGAGCATGCTCGCCTCTCCAAGCTGCTCGCAGGGGTGAGTTTCGTTACAAGCACGGTGCAGTGTGGTGCTGTGCTCTGTGAGTTTTTGACATGGTGTCAGTCTCTGTGAGAGTATGTGAGCAAGGAGCATGCTCGCCTCTCCAAGCTGCTCGCAGGGGTGAGTTGCGAGTATGGTGCAGTACGGTGTGGTGGGGTGCGAGTGTGTGTGACTCGGTGCTGCTGTGCTCTGTGAGTGTGACACACGGTGCTGTGCTGTGCTCTGTGTGAGTATGTGAGCAAGGAGCACACACGCCTCTCCAAGCTGCTGGAAGGGGTGAGTTGCGAGCATGATCAAAACATAACGTGATGACATATTCACATCCTATCTGTCAGACTTACCGTACCACAATGCCACTGCATTATCACACACTTAACTACTAACCATTTTAAATCACAGATTCCGGCATGCATTTCTTCTAGTTATCTTGGCCATTGCATTCCCCGTAGTTCCCACCTGGCCTGATCCACTCACAGTCCCTCAAGCCCAGCAAGGTGGAGAAGCTCTCACATCACCGGAACATTCCGGAAGCATTCTATCAGACTGTCTCTTGCACTAGCTCACCGGCTCACCCCCACTTTATTCCACCCGTCCCATCCCACCCACCCATTCCACATCCCTTCTCATCTCACCCACCCCATCCCGCCTGATCTTCTCGCAGTCCCTCAAACCCGACAAGGTGGAGAAGCTCTCAGCGCACCGGAACATTCTGGAAGCCTTCAAGAAGCCGTGACACGATCTTGCTTCGTAGTAGTTGTAATGCATTCTTTGCTCGTGCTTGTGGCTGGCACCGCTCTGAACTGCATTGAACCTTGTAGTATAGCAACTTTCCCATGTGGCAGTTTGAATCATTTCTTGACATTTTGAGCATCCCTCAGGTTTTAGAGGTGTGAGGCATGAAACATTGTGTCAACACGGATTGGCATGTCTGCACTGATTGACATTCTCACCTCCTCAAATCAAACAACGGTACACGGTGTGTCATGCATGCCCTAAAGCTCATCAGGTTGGAAGCCAGGGTGTGTCATGCATGCATACACCTCTACAGGTGGCCTTCCTCGCAATTTCACCCCTTCTTCAGCAGACTGAAGCACAGGTCGCATGGTAGCTGCTCTCTGCTACTTAGCATCTTAGTTCTGTTAAAAAACTGTAGGCAGATCAGATATCATGCAAATTGCTGTAGTTACGCACTGCCCATGACTTATAGCAGTTACAGTACAGTGATTTCCAGCATTAAAGCCCACGAGCGGCAACAAGACCCCTCTACAGCTCGACCTTGGCATCCCAGAAGTCGTCGTCATCGTCGTTGGAGCTGGCTGCTGCCTTGCTGGCCGCTGCCGGGTCACGCGTGAAGAAGGGGCGCGGGCCGTTCGAGGCACGGCTGTGAAGGGGAGGAAGGGTGGGGAGCAGCACACGGAAGAACAATCATCAATGGTACAGACTGAGAGAAAGAAACGGTAGGTTCCTGTGTGAGATGAGATCAGGGTGGGAAGCGGGACGAGGGAGAGAAGGGTAAGCGAGAAGGAGAGAGGGGAAGTGCGAGGTGGAGAGAGGGAGGGATGAAGAGAAGAGCAACACAGAAGCAACTTGCTAAAGGCGTGTGAAGGGGGGGGCAGCAGGGTCGCAGGTGAAGAAGGGGCGTGGGTTGAAGGAAGCACGCATGCAGTGGGGAAGGGCAATCCGCCACGCACAGTACACAAAAGCATCATGATATGATATGATATGATATGATATGATATGAATGATATGCTATGCTATGATATGACTGTAATGTAATGTGACGTTATGCGAGTTCTATATGATATGACACGTTCTTCAACTGCCGCCTTGTTGTAGCAACAAAGAAACAAAGGTTTGAAACGGGTATGTGTGACCAGTGTGGCGGGAGTAGCACTGGAGCGGAGGCGGATGGGACGCGGGCCGGGGAGGGGAGGGGAGACCGCATAGAGACGGGGGTGAAGTTCGCACATGTCTCGTACTGGTAGTTATGCGCCTGCAGGGATGCCGCTACGGGGGATGCTACAATATCTACTCTTAGAGTACCTACAAGGAAGTCTCAAAAGTGCTACAGTCCCTTGCGCGACTGCCGGATCCCTCCTACCTACGACGCCAGTCGCTACTGCTGCTGATGCTGCTCGTCCCCCTCCCGAGTGATGAAACGAGATTTCAAGGCGCCTAATCAATCCTGCTTCTCACTCGTCCACTCCTTCAGCTGCACTCGACGCGCTAGAGGCTCCGCTACAGTTGATCGATCGCACTCATTCCACGATCTGTCGTAAAATCCGCTCTGACCTGACCAGTTAACGGCTCTAATCGTTCTGGTCTAAACACTCAGTGCGTTTCAAGGACGGCGTCATGTCATCGCAGACTCGACTCTTCTCTGCTTGGTCCCAACCACGCCCCACCGAGTCCCGCCCCGAGTGCCTCCCGAGTGAGGCCCGAATGCTACCCAATCCTGCGCGCATAGCGAGTGCACCAACGTCGCACCCGCACTCGCGCCGCGTGTGCCGCCCAGACTAACCGCCAGCCCACAATTGCCGTTGCCGTTTCTATGCGCGCAAAACCCTAACTTGCATCGGAGATAAGCCGCCTTCATGTTCCGTCCGACCGAAGCATAAACCCTGAATTTTCTGCCGCGAGGCCTCTCGGACGCGAAGAGAATGGCAGCATTGTCATGGGATGGCTGGTATTGAGGTGAACGATGAAGCTGTCTCTTAGCGCCATACTTGCGCTAATGCGCTTCGAGCCCTTTTGCTCAGACAAAAAGTCATCTGCTCGCATGATGGACTAAGTCGCCAATGTTCGGCAAAACTTTAGTGAACATCCCTTCACAGGGAAAGCACACACATAAGAAACTTTAGGATAACCACGCGAGACTCACGAGAATCGCTTGCGTTGCCTGGCGGCGTCCTTCTGCTTGCGCTTGACAATGTCCTGCTGCGTCTCGAAGAAGCGTCGCCTGCGACACTCGTTCACGATGTTCGCCTCCATGCAAGTCTTCTTAAACCGTCGCACGACCGACTCCGTGCTCTCGCTCTCGCCCACCAGAATCTGCGTGTTGTACGTCTTCGCCCACATCACGTTCGCGAACGCCGCAGACGGGTCGATCGCCGTCGCAGCATTCTCCGCGGACACCCTCGCGAAGGACGGAAGGCCCGACGACGCCACGCGGACCTGAGCGGGAGCGGCCTGGCTGGACGGAGCGGGTTCCGCAGCGGAGCAGCGGACGGCAGCGCGGGGAGCCGCGGAGGCGGCGGAGAGCGCGAGAGAGCTCGCAAAGGCAGCCATGGTGAAAGTCTAACCGAGATTCCCCTCTAGAGGGAGTCCACCGATATGAATATGGTCGTATTACCTTGAAAACTGTGGATGGCTGCTTTGACGGGGATGGCTGTGCTGGCAGGCGAGATGGGAAAGAAAGCTGCTGGAAAAGAGGAGATAGGGAGGACCACGACTGCTGGTAGGTACTTTTGGATTATCGCCTGAAAGCTCACGAAGAATATGAGTTACCCGCAGCCAGAAACCAGACCAGCTCAAGGTTCAAGTGACCAGGGAAAATGCGTTTGGCGAAGCCTGAATATCATACACATTGCGCGGGTTCTCGTTTTCGCGAAAGGTCGCGAAGTGGATGTATTGAGAGTCAGGATGGGGTGACGTGGAAAATGATAGTCCAGGGTGCTCTCAGCACGCCACGTTGGTCGTCTTTATATATTGTTTGTGGAATATATAGTCTACACCTGAAAGGTGTTAATCCCATATGGTGGTGAATATGCAAGCATCCAGTCCCAACTAAACTATTCTATATAACCTAATGAGGCCAGAGTATCATTTTGGGACTCATTGCTCATCAACACGAACATAATATACAGGGAACCATTTTTCCCCCTGTTACTACTGCAGACAATGAAAGCCTGAGATGTAAGTAACAATTGTGATGCTCACATAACCATGTCGACTAAGGGGGATGTAATCCCTAAGCAGCTGGTGGTCTAGGAGCGCCATAGACAATAAGTCGGGGCACCACCCTTCTGACAGTGTCAACTGGGATGGCGAAGTTGACTCCAGATGATGAACCCGAACCTGTAGAGCACGATCGAGAGAAGAGTGAACCGGAACAACAGCATAGATGAGAATCATGCACAGTCGAGAAAACCGCCGCCAAGTGGAAACTCACATTTATTCCTGTGACATGACTGACCTGATCGAGTGAAAGTTGCAGTATTCACTCCCATAATCCGTCCGAAGGAGTCAAGCAGAGGACCACCAGAGTTACCTGAACATGCAAACAAATGGTGTCAGCAGGGTATGGCAGGCTGAGAAACCGGTGGTGCAGGGACATTTCAAGAAGGTGATGTCAACATTGGTCGTTACAGGACCCCCGCGTCTCCCCCCCTTTCCCCCCCCTCTTCCCCCTCCCATCCCCCCCTCCCTCCACCCTCCTATATTGCTCCTCCCAATGGCACCTAAAAAAAAAAGCTCTCAAGCAAACCCTGCTACATTGACTTCATGGCTCAGGTAACAACCGACCTCTCACCTGCATTGATAGCAGCATCAGTCTGAATCGCTCCCCTGATGGCAGCACCTGTTGGTGCTGGAATCTCCCTGCCAAGCCCACAGATGACCTGCAGGGAAACAAGTAGCCACATGTTGAGTACGCTCTCACCCGAGTCATCATCCACGTCTGCCAGTGTGGCACCCCAGCAACCATACAACCCACCAAAAAACTTACGAAACGAGGGTGTGCTGCCTGTCATACTATCATCATCATCTAAAGCGTATACCACGCAGCCTGATGTGATGTAGAGGAGTATTACTTGTCCCAGTGCCAGTACGATCTGTAATAGTTTCATTCGTACCAGCTCCACAGTACACATGTCATCCATGCATGTATCATCCGCCTGATTCAACATCAGCTACCTAAGCAGACAAGAGGCACGTACCCCAGCAGTGAGTGTGTGCTGCAGCCCATAGGGGTTGCCGATGGCAAAACAGCTCTGGCCCACCCTCAGGTCCGATGACGAGCCCACAGGAATGGGGTACAGGGTCGGTGCCGCTGGTGCTGCTACCGCTACTGCACCATCTGCTGCTGCACCTGTTTCCGCTGCTGCTGGAACAGGCTGAGTTAAGTCTACCTGGTAAGCATTAGACGTGAGAACACACGATCAGAAGTGAGGTGAACATTTGAGCTAAACTTGATGCCAGGATACGGAATCCTTGAGTGGGTCAATCTCTGGGGTCTTCTGACAGAAAGGCGAGGCATTCTCCAGAACTCACCTTGAGCACAGCAAGGTCTCTGGATGGGTCGGTGCCAACCAGAGTAGCTGCGTACGTTTGCATGGCGCCTGATGGGGCGAGAAGAGACACCTGGATGGGGAGAGGAAGGAGAGGATTGTAGCAGGAATACGTTTGAAAGGTTCGATCAGGCACAAAAGTGGAGGGGAGAGGTAAAACTGAGAGCACTGGTGGCGAGAAGTCTTTACAATAAGTACGGCGACCTTATCTTGCAGCAGATGTCACCACCCTCTAGATTTCGCAACACTACTCCCCATTCCAATTTCCTCCATTCTCACCCTGCAAGCTTGACGGCCCGAAGTGTCAGTCGCCAGCTTGGCAACCACATGGTAGTTGGTGACCTGCCACGTCAGCGAGATGGAGGTGGAAGGAGATCACCACCATGTCCATGAGATGATGTAGAGGAATGCACAACATACACCTGACCATTGTCAATCTCAATGAAATAGATCCTTCGAGACCGAGCCACCGCAATGCCTTCCTGACTATCGATGGTACTGGGTGTGTGATATGGCATTGCACTGTAACATGCCCAGACTCTGTTCTACAGTGCACCATCAACGCGATAATAGCAATATCTTACAATGTGACCGTATTCATCCCAGACAAAACCGGAGCCGATTCCTTCCATGACTTCCTCTCCAGCTCCTCCCTTTCCCTTGCCGCTGCCATTCACTTCCACATTCATAATAGACACTACTGACGCCGTTGCGTTCTGGAAGCACGACGTGGGGAAATGTGCAGGGAAGATGGACATGCAAGGAGAATAATAGTTGCTAAACGGAAGAGAAGACACATTAAAAAATGAGACGATCACGCCTATATTTGCTAGACGATAAGAAATTATCACGCCTCACCGCAACGAAACGGACAAAGTATGAGGAAATACCATAGCACAGGGCAGTGGTGGGAGTCCCAGAACGTGGCTTAGGAAGTGACGGTCCTCACCTCAAACAGCGTCACGATGGTGTCCTCGTCATCGTCGCTCACAGCAGCCAACAGCGGCCCTTGCCCCACTCGCCCTGACAGAACCGCTGCATGTGCAGCTCCAGATTCCGTGACGCTTCCAATCCTCCACGGCTCATTTCCAGCAAGGACTGCTGCCAGAGCTGCTGTACCCGCAAGGAAGGTTCGTCTTCCAGAAGCTCCAGCTAAATCGCTAGATTTATCGGTGCTTGGTGGATTGACATCAGACGGCTTTTCTTGCTCTAAGCTGGTCTCTGCAAGGCAGCAAATATTCCAAGAGCCGCTTCCCGAAATTCGCCTGTGTAATACTTTTTCCTGACATCTTTGTCTAGACCTAATGCCTCCTCCCGTTCTTGCTAACGAGCCAAGAGGTAGAGGTGCCGATGTAAGAAATAGCGAGCTCGAAGCAGGACAGGAAATGGACGCCGATGTTGGCGAAGCCGGACGGCGACACTGGAAACCTTGCAAGGTAACCTGACGGTACGTCCCTAAAGAAAAGCCTGCCGACATTTTGAAACACTAGCGGGACGTAACGTAACGGTGACGCTCTACCTGATGACCTCCAAGGGGAGGGAAGTCTCCTATTTTACTGCTCTGTCTGTCTATCTGGTCATGGAGGATGTATTCGTCTATTGTCTGCCAGAGGTCGCATTTCCGAAACGAGGGAATACATCCGAGCCTGAGGTTTGACTGGAAATTCAGCCTGGCTTGCAGAACGAGCATAGGTCCGCCAGGCTCGGAAAGAGGAACCCATGGTTGTGTCGCAGATACCAAGATGAATGGCCACATTCACTTTGACGACGAGGTGGCCAATACGAGAAGGTGGCCAGAGCATACAGCCAATCACAGTGCGTCAAGTCCACATCGGTTCAGCAAAGTTCCATCCCACCAGTTCCGCCGAGCCGAGGTGTGGTACAGGTACGGTCTGTAAAGCCGGGATACGATGACGTGTCATGTTCTCGAGAATTCCAACATCCAGCTCTGCCAGTTCATTTCAGCAAGTTTATTCAGCGAGTTCATTCAGCAAATTCATTCAGCGAGTTCATTCAGCAAATTCATTCAGCGAGTTCATTCAGCAAATTCATTGCTGATCGACAGAATTCCTTGAAGTTCTCAGCTGACTTCTCGCTGGCTGTTGTCCCTGCACCAAATTCACGCGGCATTCGTGCAGTGCTGCTGCTGAATCGTTGAATCTGCTGATACGCAATGGCAATGCTGGCGTCTGATTGCTCGTTGATGAGCTCTCGCGGAATAACCGCCGTGAGTTCCAATGTACCCCGTGCTCCCCGCCATAGCCAGTTTTCAATCTCTGGTTTCTCTCTTTTCTTTAGCGTACCCCGTGCCTCCTGCGAATCCCACTCGTTTCACTAACCCTTTACATCCCCGTCTTTCACTCCATCCCACAGGGAGGTCGACCTCAGACACATTTCCTCCAGCGAGCTTCCCAATTGTCCAGCAGAACTTCCTCCTCGTCCTTACGCTCAGTGACAGTCGCAGTACCCGCGGCCACGGGTACTTTCCGGAGGACCAGGCAAGCAGGTCCGATACTTTGCCGCTCTCAACGTTTCACATCCGCGTCGTCTCGCTCGGACGCGACGGAAAGTGAACGAGCGAGTCATGGCAACGGACGGTTGGAGTCGTTGCAGGAATCTTTGACGTCTGGCCAGAGAGGTATGGCAAATCACGCTGGTTTCGGTCTTTTCTAGCAAGCTAACTGTCGCCTGCCTTCACTTGAGTCGGTATCGTCTGGCCAGGAATCTATGGATTGCAGACCCTGAATTCGGTTATAATGCGTGGTGTTTGTTTAGGCTCTTCTCGAGTAATGCTTGTTAGTCTGATTGGAACGTTGGGATTGCGAGCAATGGTCGTTTCGGTGTTCAATCACCAGACGTAACAGTTAACGAGTAGTCGAAGTGGAAGCGGAACCAACATGGAAATGTTGAGAGAAACGAAAACGTGACGACGGTAACTTACGACCTTGCCTTCTCGCCTGCTTTCGCTCCTCACACCCACAAAACCCTCCCTTTTATCTTCCTCCCCAGCTGCATCCAAGGCGACAGCAGCACTGCTAGCAGCCCTCATCACTCTCACACCGACAGCAGCCGCTTGCTTCGCACCATGGTCAGCCGAAGCAGCATCCACGAAGTTCCCATGCGAGGACGTGGAGCAGTACTACGCAGGGACGCAGGGGCTGAAGGGAGAGGCTCTTAAGGCGAAGCTGCACGACATTATAAAGGGTCACAAAGTGTACACCTACACCGAGGTAGGTAACACTGGGAGTAATGGATCACGTAAGGAGGTAGTCCAAAGGAATTAACTAGTGCTAAGAGACTGCAACGAAGGTACTTTATCATCACTGGGCTGCAATGTATGGCTGTGGCACCTCTTACAGGTCACTCGTTTCAAATCAACATCATGCTCTATCAGTCAGCCAGTGTTGTGCGAGAAGACTGACCCCTTCCACTGATTCCAAAACCCCCTCTCTCTCACAACAACAATTGTGTTGATGGCAGGCATGGGATGCTCTGAAGATTCTTGATGCTGCGGACCAATCAGATCCTGCTAAATCCCGTGATGTGTGAGTGGCTACAACGAGTAACCCACGTTTTCACACACTTTGCTCAGTCTTTCCTTCCTCGCTTTCCTCCTCCCCTCTTCCTCGCCGCTGCTCATTATTATTGATTCTCCCCGTGTTTTCTATGGCCAGAGTGGAGATCTATACACGCAGGGCAGTGGCCAAGGACACACAAGCCACGCCCGAAGGCTGGAACAGTGAGTAGCCACTGGTTGCGGTTCTCGTTTTCATTGCAGTGACTGCAACGATTGTCCTGCTGCAATCATTCCAGTGATTGCAACTCCATGATTGCACTGAAATCGCTGTCTCCCTCCACCCATCCACCAGGGGAGCATCTGTGGCCTCGCTCCTACGGCCTCACCCAGGGCCGCCCCGAGTTCTCCGACCTTCACAACCTGAGACCTGCTGATGTCAATGGTAGGCTTTGTGACGTGCTGGGCTGGACTGGTCGTGGTGGTCGTGTTACATTGGATTGGAGAAGAGACCGCGTGAACCATAACCACATCCCCTCTCTATTGCCACATAGTTGACTTCCTCACCACTATCTCCCCTCTCTCTACTGTCACGTGCAAGTGCATTCTCTACCACATTCCTCCTCTGGCTGCTGTCACATATGATCAATTTCATTACCACATCTCCTCTCCCCTCACTGTTGTCACCAACAGTGAACTCCGCCAGAGGCAACAAGTGGTTCGGAGAATGCGCGTCCACTGATGGTGCCTGTATGGTGCCGGCCAACAGGGAGGCAGCAGCAGATACCGCCACCAACAAGGACGTCTGGACTCCTCCCACTGAGGTGCGTGCTTGCGTCCTTGCTTTCTTGCTTCCTGTCTTCGTTCCTTGGTGCTTCCTTTCTACCCTTTTCAACCCATTTTCAACCCCTATGCACTCAGACAGATGCATGCGAGCACACACAAAAGCATAGATGGATCACCATACGCACCTCCACAGAATTAACTGCTATGGTTTCTCGTCTCTCGTCTCTCTCTCTCCAACCACCTCATGAATTCCGTCTGTCTGTACGCATATAGACACTATCTCACGCTAGCACTCCAGTGTTTAAAACACCAGTGTCGATTTACTTGCCTGGCACTGTCACGCTGACTTCCTCGTGACTCCCTTGTGCCTGTGCATCCCTGAGCCAGGTGCGGGGAGACATAGCACGTGCCCTGCTCTACATGGCTGTGAGATACGATGGCTCCGTGCCAGGCGAGCTCGACCTCGAGCTCTCAGACAACCCCAACATTGGTAAACGATTGTCACCTTTCCTTGCTGTTTCTTCTGCTCGATTCGTATGCCTCGTTTCCCCTCCCCCTCGCCCACCTTTGTTTTTGCTCGCTGCTTTATCCACCACCAACCCCCTCTCCCCCCCCCCACTTCACACTCTACCTCTTCCTCACGGCCCTTTTCTATCCCTCACTCTCTCGCATCCAACCCATTCAAGTGGCACTCCTCGATTGCTCCCTCCCTCAGTACCCTTTACCCCCCTTCCCCCTTCCCCCTTCCCCATTCCCCCCTTCCCTTCTCTCTATCTCGCTCCCCCATGCATCCACCACCCTCCAGCCAAAGGCCAGATGGGGCTCACTCCTCTCCTCAAGTGGCACGCCATCGACCCGCCCTCATCCCTCAAGACCACACGCAACGCCCGCGTGTGTGTGCTCCCTCAGTACCCTTCTCCCCCCCCCTTCCCCCTTTCCCCCTTCCCTTCTCTCTATCCCGCTCCCCCATGCATCCACCACCCTCCAGCCGAAGGCAAGATGGGGCTGCTCACTCCTCTCCTCAAGTGGCACGCCATCGACCCGCCCTCATCTCTCGAAACCACACGCAATGCCCGTGTGTGCTCCCTCTACCAGCACAACCGCAACCCCTTCGTCGACCACCCTGAGCTCGTCTCCCTCATCTGGACCGCCGGGCCAGCCTCGGCACCGGCTGTAGGCTCGGGGGCAGGCTTGGGCGCAGGCTCGGGAAGCGGGTTCAGCTTGCCAGGAGCGGCGCCGCCGGTGGGGGTGCCGGTGGGGGGAGGCTTGGGAGCGGCAGCAGGCGGGGCGAGCGGGGTTGCTGCTCCCCGGGTGCCTGGTCTGCAGGCGAAAGCATGGTTCAATGAGATTCACTACAGCAATGAAGGGCCGGATAAGAACGAGGTGGGTGGGTGAGAGGTGAGGGAGGAAGAGGGCTAGGGGATTTTTGAGTCTGACTAAAAAAGGCGAGCGGGGTTGCTGCACCCCGGGTGCCTGGTCTGCAGGCAAAGGCGTGGTTCAGTGAGATTCACTACAGCAACGAAGGGCCGGATAAGAACGAGGTGGGTGGTTGAGAAAGGAGGGAGGACGAAGGTTGGGGATGTGTGGGAGGGCGAGGGAAGGTAGCGATGGTGACTCGATATAGAGTACCGGGTTGAGATGATGGGGAAGAACTAATTTGTTTGCAGGTGTCTCCTGGATCGTCCTTCTAACGATTTACTTCACAGCACTTGGATTTGACAAAGCTGTCTACCTACCCATACTGCCCTGCTCATTCACTAAATCTTTCCTCCCAATTTCGCTTTGCACTAAACTCCTTCCTTCTTGCTCTGTCCTCCTGAAGCCCCCCTCATTCCAATCACCCTGCTTACTCCCTTCAAGTCTCCTAACCCACATCCTCACCGAATCCAGAAACGAATACATTTGATCCTACGCCACTACCACGCTCTTCATTGTCTCTTGACACCCTTTCTTTCGTTCCCCAATCCCCTTCCCCCACGTTCCAATGCAGTTCATTGAGGTGGTTGTGAGCCCAGGCGTGGACCCCTCAACCCTCGCCCTCTACCTCTACAACGGAGCCAACGGCAAGACCTACGGGAAGCTTCCTCTCTCCAAGTTCAACCTTCCTCCCACCAACGTCAACGGTTTCGTGGTGTATGGCAACACGTACGCTCAAGGAGGCCTACAGAACGGGCCAGCAGACGGCATGGCACTCGTTTCCCAGCCTGCAAATGGCGCCGCCACGGTGATTCAATTCCTGTCGTACGATGGCGAGCTGGTGGCTGTGGATGGGCCGGCCAAGGGCTTTAAGTCGACGGATATTGGAGTGAAGGAGACGGATAACTCGCCGGCTGAGAGCGCTCTTGGGCTGATTGGGGTGGGGAAGAAGTACGAGGACTTCAAGTGGTCCAAGTTCAACAAGAATGCGTCACCTGGCCGTGTCAACGTCAGCCAGACATTGGCCAGTTATTGATTGTCGCATCTGGGTGGTTGGGTATCTATGGTGGGGCACAACACCAATGGTTGAAATACCAGTACGACATAGTTCCACAGTTTTTTTTGGCAAGCAATTTACTGAGTTCAAAAGCTCGGGCAGGTGGGAGGATGTCTCTGCATTGCCAATTTGCCCTTGCTGCTGGGTTACGGTATGATCCATGGTGCTGACTTCCATGTGTTGGATATTATTGTTGCGAAAGAAAGCAGAAGCAATTTATAGAACTGTTTCACTATTTCGCAAGATACTAATGTTTAGATGTAAAGATGGTAAGTTTTGCAGTGTAGCTGGCTGCACGTTTTTCAAAACAATATTGATGGATAACGGTTTTTGACCCAGCAGAAGTGTGGAGGAATAAATGCAAGCTAGGCAGCAGGCTGCAGAACACTAGCATGTGGTGGAAATGTGCTTCGCGCTTCAGGAAGGACGCACAAGGGCATCATCAATGGCAGTCTAAATACCTAACTGCTCCAATTGATATACGGTAGGTAAGGTGTAGTAGTACTGGTCCAAGACCCTCCATATCCATTACCCTCTGCCACTCCTCCATCCACCGCCACCACCACCACCACCTCCCCTCCTGTTTCCCCCATATCCTCCTCCTCCCCCACCGCCACCAAACCTGCCACGACCACCACTGCCCCCTCCTCCCCCTCCCCCTCCACCTCCTCCCCATCTTCTTGGGCCTCCGGGACTGATAGGGAGAATACAGAGGGCCACATGGATGGGAGGGATGAGGTGAAACGGGAAGAGGAGAGTGTTGAGAGGCGAGTGGAACAGGAGGAGGGCAGAGAGGAGAGGATATCATTAGGGCGAGGACGAGAAGCGAGATAGAGAGAGGTAGGTGTAATCAGGTGAAATGCGATCAGCACCGTTGATTCATATTGCGCACATCATGGCACCATCTGACCCGTTACACGGATGCAAATGTCAGCGCAAATTTGGTCATCGCTTCGCCAGAGGGGAGAGGGGATGATGGAAAGGGGTAAGAGGGGATGGGCGGTTTGACGGAAGAATGCCAGGAGGGTGGTGCAACGAGGTTGGCAGAGAGGCTTGAAGTGAGTGAGAGAGAGAGAGAGAGAAGCTGGGCGGGCAAGTCAGGAGAAGTGCATCCTGGAGAAAAGCTGCGATCAGCACCGTTGATTCATATTGCGCACATCACGGCACATCTGACCCGTTTACAGGGATGCAGGTGTCAGCGCAAGTTGGGTCATCGCTTCACAGCTCAACTCAACCCCTCGAGCCTAAATTCACAGGCGTCACAGCAGCATCAGGAGCTGCTGGAAGGGGAAGGAAAAAATCAAGGGAATCAAAGGAAGTGAAGCAGCAAACCTTCCCACACACCCCCGTCGCCGTGATCCAAGGAGGGCCCTCACCTGTTGTTGCCCATGCACCCCTCACCTGATTCCTATGCACACTCACCTGTTTCCCATGCACACTCACCTGTTGCCCATGCACACTCACCTGTTGCCCATGCAACCCTCACCTGTTTCCCATGCACACTCACCTGTTTCCCATGCACACTCACCTGTTTCCTATGCACACTCACCTGTTGCCCATGCACCCTCACCTGTTTCCTATGCACCCTCACCTGTTGCCCATGCACCCCACCTCTCTTGTTGTAACCCATGCGCTGCGCCTCACCTGTTGCTGGTCATGGGCGCTTGCTTGAGCTCGGGAAGCGTCTTAGCCTCCTCCACCTGGATGTTTGACATCCCGTTGCTCGCCGCTGCTGCCGCCGCTATTGCCCATGCGCCCCACCTATAACCCATGCGCCCCACCTATAACCCATGCGCCCCACCTATAACCCATGCGCCCCACCTATAACCCATGCGCCCCACCTATAACCCATGCGCCCCACCTATAACCCATGCGCCCCACCTATAACCCATGCGCCCCACCTATAACCCATGCGCCCCACCCACCCATGCGCCTCACCTGTTGCTGGTCATGGGCGCTTGCTTGAGCTCGGGAAGCGTCTTCGCCTCCTCCACCTGGATGTTAGACATCCCGTTGCTCGCCGCCGCTGCCTCCACTACTGCCCATGCACCCCACCTATAACCCATGCACCCCACCCATGCGCCTCACCTGTTGCCGGTCATGGGAGCTTGCTTGAGCTCAGGAAGCGTCTTCGCCTCCTCCACCTGGATGTTAGACATCCCGTTGCTCCCCGCCGCTGCCGCCGCTGTAGTGTTGGGAAGACACCAACACATGTGAGGCACACAAGGGTTTAATTTCTATTTGCAGTCATGTCAAAGCAATGAGAGGCGAGAGAGAGCAATGCAATGGCACCAGTCCCAATGGGAGGTGGGTGGTTGAGCCCTCACCCTCAAGGTAGAGGTCTTGTCCTTGACAGGCACGTCAAAGAGGTGAGAAAGGGGAGAGAGCAACGTAATGGCAATGGTCTCAATCAATAGGAGGTGGTTGTCAAAGGCCTCACCATTCAGGTAGAGGTCTTGTCCTTGACAGGCACGTCAAAGAGGTGAGAAAGGGGAGAGAGCAACGTAATGGCAATGGTCTCAATCAATAGGAGGTGGTTGTCAAAGGCCTCACCATTCAGGTAGAGGTCTTGTCCTTGACAGGCACGTCAAAGAGGATGCAAGAGAGAGCAATGTGATGTGACAGCACCCTTCAGAGGGCTCAATGGGAGGAGGTTGAGTTAAAACCCTCACCTTTCAAGTACAGGTCCTTGTCCTTGACAGGCACGTCAAAGACGTGAGAGGTGAGAGAGGACAATGCGAAGGCAACAGTCAGAGGTTCAAACAGAAGGTGGTTGAGTTAAAACCCTCACCTTTGAGGTACAGGTCCTTGTCCTTGACAGGCACGTCAAAGACGTGAGAGGTGAGAGAGGACAATGCGAAGGCAACAGTCAGAGGTTCAAACAGAAGGTGGTTGACTTAAAACCCTCACCTTTCAAGTACAGGTCCTTGTCCTTGACCGGCACGTCAAAGACGGCCCCACAGCCGTCAGCTGTGAGCGTGATGCCGTTGATGGCTCTCGTCTGGTCCGGTGTCAGGTGCTGCTCGAAGAACCGTAGCACGTAGCTGCAGTGAGGGGGGGAGGGAGCAACGGATTAAACGCTTGATTGCACTTGTCTGGTCTGGTGTGAGTGAGGTGCTGCTCGAAGTACCGTAGCACGTAGCTGCAGGGGGGAGGGGGGGGAGGGGCAAGGGGCAAGGGGGGAAGGTTTTGAGACGTCTCAGAGCTTTATGGCTCGCGTCTGGTCCGGTGTGAGGTGCTGCTCGAAGAACCGAAGCACGTAGCTGCAGGGGGGGAGGGGGGAGGGGAGAGGGGATTGGGGAAGGGAGGGATGGTTTTGAGATTAGACGCTTGATTGCTCGCGTCTGGTCCGGTGTGAGGTGCTGCTCGAAGAACCGTAGCACGTAGCTGCAGGGGAGGAGGGGGAGGGGCAAGGGGCAAGGGGGGGAAGATTTTGAGACGTCTCAGAGCTTTATGGCTCGCATCTGGTCCGGTGTGAGGTGCTGCTCGAAGTACCGTAGCACGTAGCTGCAGCTGGGGGGAGGGGGAGGGAGGGAACAAGGTGGGGGGGCAGAGTTTTCGTTTTGAGGTAAGGGTAACAAGCGAATCGTTTCGACCAGAGGCGTGATGGACGAAACACGAAACAAAAAGAGCAGGACACGACCGGAACAAACACACAAACGCGAGGCAAAGAGGGGAAGGGCTCACGAGGGCGAGTAGAAGGATGAGGAGCAGCGCAGCAGCAGGGTGACCTGGTCCTGCTGGCTCAACAGGTGACTTTCGGGTCGACTCAAAAGTGAGGGGAAGGGCTCACAAGGGCAAGGGCTTACGAGGGCGAGTAGAAGGATGAGGAGCAGCGCATCAGCAGGGTGACCTGGTCCTGCTGGCTCAACAGCAGCGACCGCACCTTGAGCTCCGTGTGCCCCTGTGAGAGAGAAGAGAGATATCCATGCCATGCCATGCCATGCCATGCCATGCCATGCCACACAGAGAGTGCAGAAGGAGCAGCAACAGGATCAGCAAAGTGCAGCTTAGAGGCATGGCAGGGAGAGAGGAAGAGCATATGTGCCAGGGACCTTATGCGTGCCAAAAATGTGCAAGTAAGTACATACATCTTGCCGTGATAGCAGATCTTCGGACATTTTCCAGTGAGCACGTGGCAGGGACCTTGTGGGTGCCAAAAATGTGTAAGTACATACATCTTGCCGTGACCCATGGAGCAAGCAACTCACAGCGAGGCAAGCGAGGGCTTTGGCGAGTGCAGCGAGGGGCGAGAGGCCAGTGGAGTCGATAAGCTCCTGTGCGGAGCCCTCAAAGAGTGGCACCACACTGTGTGTTACGAGGGAGGGGAGGATGACAGGGTGTTGGCGGGTAGAAGACAAGGGTAATTTCGAGACAATGGTAAGTGCAGGAGTGAGTTCAGGGGTGGGGACAAGCGTTTGGCACAGCAGCTTCGTGGCGAAATGTCTGTAATAAGGGTTTCCAAAAACAGTCTCCCACATTCTCAAGCTTCCAAGCCCTCTCTTTCCTCCCGCCCGCCCACTCATGCGTATGCAAATTTCAAAATATATCAATGACCGCGCACAACCCCTTTCACCAATAAAGCCTGCCCCCACCTGGCCCCAACGCCCTCACCAGTCCCTCACGCCCTCACCTGTCTCTCACGCCCTCTCACCTGTCTCCAACAGCCTTGACTTTGGTCGTGACTGCAGCGGAGGCGACTTTAACGAGGTCGGCGGGCTGGGGCGGGCTGACGCGCTCGAACTTGACCCCCGCCGTGTGCTCTATCTGCGCCACTATCCGCCCCGCCCACCTGTCCGCCACCAACACTGACACGCCCGTGTTGCCTGGTTGGAAGGGGGGGAGGGGGGGGAAGGCAGTGGCAAACACAGACAGGGTGGGTGGGGGGAGGGAGGGGAAGGGGGAGGAAACGGGGAAACGGGTGAGGGAGAGAGGCATGGTCGAGGCAGGGCTGTTGAACTTGACGCCCGCGGTGTGCT